ATCTTCTAAGATATTTTCAGATGGCTGTAGGAAATCTTGATGGGCTGGAATATATAAGCAGTAGAAAAAGTCTCAGGAAGGAAGGGAGATGACTTAGGAAATGCTTGGTTGAAAGAGTTATTTGTGAATTTTGGCTGACATAGTTTTTCTGGTCATGGTTCTACAGCCATATGGGACATCAAGCTTTTGTACTCTCTCAACCTCAATCCCTTTAATCCTTTTCCATACCAGATGATGCCAGCAGCAAAGGTCACCTGTCTGTCTGATCAGGTTACGAACTAGAGCCTGCTGTTTGAAGCCCATACTTCTAGACCTATCATAGACCTTTGGGAAAGGCACTGGCTGACCCTGGGCCAGCGGTGTCCAACTTGGAGGCCCCCAGTCCTTGGAGCTTAGTAAACTATTTCCATTATTTTAAAAAGCCTGCTAAGAGCAGTGCTGTACCTCTTAGCTTGTGGATGGATACAGGCTAATGAAAAGTTTGGATTTCTTTCCTTTATGTTAGAATGTTGTCAACAAAACATGATTTAAGTGTGTTACCTATGATCTTCTGTTATAGGTTCCAACAAAATATGACCTATGGGCTAATTCCAGCCCACTGCCTGTATTTTTGTTAAAAAAAAAATTCATTAGAACACAATCTCATTCACTTATGTTTGTCTGCGGATGCTTTTTGTGCTATAATTTGGCAGCAGAGACTATATAGCCTACAAATCCTAAATTGTTTACAGTGTAGTCCTTTATAGAAAGAATTTGCTAGACCTCTAACTTGACTCTTTTTATTTATTTATTTATTTATTTTTTTAAATGTTTCATGTTTCTGTTTTTTTTTTGTTTTTTTTTTTTAAAGAGAGAGTGAGAGAGGAGGGAGAGAGAGAGAGAGAGAGAGAGAGAGAGAATTTTTAATATTTATTTTTTAGTTCTCGGCGGACACAACATCTTTGTTGGTATGTGGTGCTGAGGATCAAACCCGGGCCGCACGCATGCCAGGCGAGCGCGCTACCACTTGAGCCACATCCCCAGCCCTTGACTCTTTTTATTGTGACACTCAGCACATAGTGTTTTAATTGCCTGTCTTTCCCACTGTAGTAATTGAACCCCAGAGAGCAAAGATAAAATCTGATTCATAATCTTTATGTCTGGCTGCCCAACATAGGCCTGAAATATGAATTATACTCATACATGTTGTTTAAATGTTTTATCATATGCTGACCAAAAATCTCTGACATGCAATTATATGTGCTTTTGTATAGTACAAAAATAGGGGCAAGAGAGGGAAAGAGTTAATATCGATTATGCTAATCTCAGTGTGCTTTATCTGTGAACTGGTTAGTTAATACTTTTTGTAATTTATTGGGTTGATAAATAGTTTTTCTGGAAGTGGGTTCCAAGAATGAAAGTATGATGCCAGGAATTCTTGTGGGTGAGGAAGTTGAGAAACAATACCTCAATCTTTGGCTGTATTCTACTTTCTCCTTCAGTAATCTCCATCCCACCCCCAATCCAACCTGGCAGGACAAGTAGAACTTAAGGTTACATAGAGATATTTCTTTTGTATGCTTATCTTATTCTTTTAATTTTATAAAACAATTTTGTGTTCTTACCAACATTATCATCTGGCTTCCAAAAGATGAAATTAACCCAAAGCTATTTGACTACTGTAGTAAAAAGGCCGTCAGGTTAAGTGCTGACATGGGAGTCAGCAGACCTCGGTTCTTGCTGTGGCTCTTGAGTGGTTTTTTTTGACTTTGGGCATATCATTTAACATCTGTGAGCCTCACTGTTCAACATATTTCAGTTGAGTCACATCTGTGATTCTTTAAAATTTAATATTTATACTTCTCCTTTATTTTGAAAAGGATTTGGACAACCAGCAAGAGATAGAGAGGTGACCTATTCTATCTTCACTGTCTCTAGCAAACAGATAAGTAAACAATTAAATGGATCATGGTGTTTTAGTGCCTTTTAAAGGGCTTAGTATCTTTATCTGTCCTTGCTTTCTTGTCCCGACAATATTCCTATTACCTGGGAAGTCAAAGTCTTTTTTCTTCTCCCTCTCCCTGCTTTATTTTGATATAGGGGATTGAATCCAGAAATACTCTATCACTCAGTGACATCTCCAGCACTTTTTATTTTTTATTTTGAGACAGGGTCTCACTAAGTGAGATCTAGAATTTGGGTTCCTCTTGCCTCAGCCTCCCAAGTTGCTAGGATTATAGGTGTGCGCCACCAAGACTGGCTCTTTCTTTTATCTTTTTTTTTGGGTGATATATAAAGAACATTTTGCCTAGGAAGTAATAGTCAAGATCCAAGTCAAAAGGAAAGACAGATTTTAGCACCTAGGAATTGGAGGATATATACTAGAAACTTGAGTCAAAATGCCTTTTTTCAGGCCAGTTTCTTGATACAGACCTGAAACTCAGGAGGCTAAGACAGGTAGTTCAAGGGCAGCCTCAGCAACCTAGTGAGTTCCTCTCTGAAAATAAAAAATAAAAAGCTCAGTGGTAGATCAGTGGTAGAGTACTCCTGTACTACAAAAGAAAAAAATAAGTCTTTATTTCTTTTTTTTGAAAATTTATTAGTGTATTATAGTTATATATAATAGAAGAGAATTTCCTTTTTTTGAGTGATAAAATGTCAAGTTTATCTAATTTCACCATTGATATTAGAATCATATTTTTCTTTTACCTCTAAAATGAAAATTAAAAAAATAAGTCCTAATTACTGTTACTCAGCTTTTTGTCTCTAAAAACCTTTTTCTTTTAAAAAAATTTCAATTACTTTATTTTTTATTTGTTCTAATTAATTATACATGACAATAGAATGTATTTTGACACATTGTACACAAATGGAGCACAATTTCTCCTTCGTCTGGCTGAACATTGATGCACTCACACTGGTAATGTAATCATACATGTATATAGGGTAATAATGCACATTTCAATCCCGTTCTTTCACCTTCCCTCATTCCCCTCTGCACAATCCAAAGTTCCTTCATCCCCTTTCCCCCTCATTATGGATCAGCATCCACTTACCAAAGAAACATTTGGTAAGTTTTGGGTTTGGCTTATTTTGCTTAACATAATACTCTCTAGCTCCATCCATTTACCTGCAAATGCCATAATTTCATTCTTTTTATAATGAAAATACCGAGTAATATTTCATTGTGTATATATACCACATTTTCTTTAACCATTCATCTGTTTAAGGGCATCTAGATTGGTTCCATATCTTAGCTATTGTGAATTGTGCTGCTATAAACATTGATGTGGCTTTGTCACTGTAGTATGCTGATTTTTAAGCCCTTTGGGTATAAATCAAAGAGTGGGATAACTGGGTACCATGGCAGTTCCAGTCCAGGTTTTCTTAGGAATCTCCATACTGCTTTCTAGAGTAGTTGCCCCAATTTGTAGTTCCACCAGCAATGTATGAGTGAACCTTTTCCCCAACATCCTTGTCAACACTTATTGTTGCTTGAGTTCTTGATAATTGCCATTCTGACTGGAGTGAGATGAAATCTTTGAGTAGTTTTGATTTACATTTCTCTAATCACTAGATATGATGAACATTTTTATATGTTTGTTGATCAATTGTATTTCTCTTCTGTGATGAGTCTGTTTAGTTCCTTAGTCCATTTATTGATTGGGTTATTTGTCAGTTTTTTGAGTTCTTTATATATCCTGGAGATTAGTGCTATATCTGAGGTGCATGTTGTAAACATTTTCTCCCATTCTGTAGGCTCTCTCTTCATATTATTGTTTCTTTTGCTGAGGAGAAGCTTTTTAGTTTGAGTCCATTCCATTTTTTATTTTACTTCTTGTATCTAAAAGCCTTTTTCAAAAAAAGAACTCGAGGCCTGGAGAAGAGAAGTGACCTCTATGTTCACATGGTGGAGCTAAGTCTAGATTGGAGCCTCTTTTTTGCTGTGTGTATCTATTATGGTACATGTTTTCCAGAGTTATAAGAGGTGTCATGGAAAGAGCTAAGGGGGCCTCTGCCCTTATGCTGGTTTTACTGCTGCATGCTATGTGGTGGTAGGCAGAGGAAACTGCTTTCCAGACCTCCAAAGCTGTTGTATCAGATGAGCTTGGGATTTTTAGATATCTAGTAGATAACTTGCTGGATGTAACTATCTATGAGAAGGCACAAGGTATGAGAGATTTTACTAATTGGCCTGCAGCTAGCATTTTATGTACAGCAATGACAAACAGGAAAAGTATGCATTATTCATATATAGGGACTAATTGGCTGTTGTTTTATTTCTGGAAAGATTGTATTAATTTATATTTGTTTATTTGACTGATTTAAAAATGGTATCTCACTGTCTCCCAAACTAACAAGTGAATTACAACTCTGGACAGAGAACATGATGGGAATGTGACCTTTGAATCACCTCTTTAAAAGCCCCCTGTTCCGCTGGGGATATAGCTCAGTTGGTAGAGTGCTTGCCTCACATGCACAAAGTCCTGTGTTCTATCCTGAGCGTGACAATGGAAAAAAAAAAAGTCCCCTGTTCTCCTTGATGGGCAGAATCACAGTCTCTGGGGCAGGAGTTCCCTGTGTTTCTCCTTTGCTAGCAAAGCAATAAAACTTCTTTTTCCTTTTTTTAAAAATCATATCTCAGTGGAATATGTATTTCTTTGATTACTAGTGAGTCTATTTTTTTTTTCTTGTGTTCACTGGTTATTTGTATTTTCTCTAATTTGTGACTTAGCTTTTCATGTTTTTGTCTAGATTCCAGTGTACTCATAGTCCTATGTTAGACTTAACTTCCAGGAAGCTGTTAGGATGATAAAGCACCATCCCTGTGTCAGAAAGCTCAGCACATTTTCCAGGAGACAGTTAAAAGGCTAGATGATATGCTTCTGTCACTGTATACATGGTTGGTTATAAACTTTTGTGAGGAGTCAGATACTAGAAGCTAAGGATGCTGACAAAGGTGGGTGATAGATGCTGAGTGGCAGCTCTGAGTAATGTTGTCTCTTGCTTTTCCTGTACAGAGTTCTGCCGGATTGACAAGCCCCTGTGTCACAGTGAGGATGAGAAGCTCAGCTTTGAGGCAGTCCGCAATATCCACAAGCTGATGGATGATGATGCCAATGGGGATGTGGATGTGGAAGAAAGTGATGAGGTGAGATTTCTCACCCTGCCATGACTCTCTTCTCTTCCTGTGTCAAAATATCCCTGAAAACTTTCTAGACAGAATCTTCCCTATGAAGAGGTGTTCTCTGCGTTTTTTTTTTCCCCCCTCTAGGAATTCATTCTCATCAGGAGAGGTGGCTTTCAGCATAGCAATCCTTCAGGAGCCAGCCTGGCAGAATGCAGGCTTTATATCTGTGTCTATACCTGGGTGGGTTCCCACCTGCCCACTGGCTAGATGGGCTGATCTTTGCAGTTTCCCTGGATTCTTAATGTAATCCTGATATACATAAAGGCCATCTGTACTTAGCTTTGTGTTGGCATGCAGAAAAGAAGGCCAAATAGTCATATTCTGTCATCTGGGAATTTATATATATTTGGGAAGACATAAATCTTAGAAGGTCATTCTAAATTTCAAGTTGTAATTGTTGGGAACCAATTAAGAGTTTCAGGTAATAAGAACTAGAGGAATCTCTAAATGGAATAAACTTTATTATTGTTTTTCTTTAACTTTTTATTTATTTAATAAACTCTGTTATTGTTTCACCTTTTGGCATTACTATGGCTCCAACTCAATAGAGCCCAAAGTATAAGGTTGTTATATATGAAAATATTTAATAAAAGTTTCTTGATTTCATGCACTAGTGAAGTTACCCTGTTATGCCATATCTTTAAGAGAGAAAATGTACATTATGAGGGAGGAGATAAGATGTCTGAACTCCCTGAGATTTTAGTCTACCTTTGAGTTTTGAATTCAATTTTGGATCTCACATCATCAGAAGGATTTAGAATAGTAAAAGACTGGCAGAGAGGAGTAACATGATGATGAAGAATATAGAAAGTATGAAATAAAAAAACATTCAACTTAGTTCAGTAATGTCAATTGTGTCTATTATGTATGTGCCTTTCACTGTGCTATGTATGGAGATGGGACAATAAATAAGACAGACACATTCTGTCCTCATATAATTTACAGCCTAGTGAAGACACTTTAGCCTGGAGAAGAGAAGATTGAGGTAATGTAATTTCTATCTTTAAATACATAAGAAGTAGGAAAAAGTCAGATTTTTTTTTTTTTTTTGTATCAACAAAGATGTAGAGGTAGTAAGAAACATGGTGGTTTTTTTCGGTTAGAAAAATTATGGTAGAAAACTACCAAAGAGTTGGAAAGTGAGGCCCAGGAAACCAGGCAGAGATATGTGTACCTGTACTTGAGATATATGTGGATTATTAAGCAAGGATAAAAATCATGATCAAAGTGTCTGATTTTTTTTATCATATTTAGAACTGACCTTCAAAGGATTAAAATTTCATTGATCTATGTTGAGAATAGAGCCAAGTTCCTGGTAGGGAAGGAGATTTACAGATGTTCTGATTACTGTCCTAGGGCATTGCCCCAGGACTGGGGAATGGAATGCATAACAGTTAAGAATGTGATGTAATCCAAGATCTACATATTCTTGGATATCTTTGTAATCCACTCCTCCTTTTTTTTTTCCAGTCCTGCTGAATTGCTTTGTCAATGAGGAAAGGAATAAAATGTTCTTTTTAGAGGAATGTTACCACAACAAAAAACTCATCAGCACAAACTGTCCCAAAATAACACAAAAGCTGTCACCCCGCTCTTCTCTGCATCAGTCAGGAGCTGTTCTTTTTCAGCATAGCTTCTGTATTGCCTTGGCTTTTCCTGTTCTCCCTCCAAGGCTAAGGCCTCTTGTAGTTAGAGGCTCCTGAAAATCTGGGGTTTCACAATCAATCACAAGCTGCATCCTTGAGAGAGAAAATAAAATGTGGGTGCTTAACTCAGTCTAAACATATGAGACAGTATTGGAATTCAGGATCTAACTAGACTAGTTGGATAGATAACTCAGGGCTTAGAATGTCAGGTAATGGATGATGAGGCATCATGGATGAAACGCTGTTGTGCTGGCCATGTTGTGCTGGTTGATGTTGGTAAATTTCTCAGAAAATATAAAAGGAACTGAAGGATTTACCTCAGTGCTATAGCTTTTAAAATTTTAGCCATTTTTGAATTAAATCATTTTTTTATGGATTAATGTGACCAGAACATTAGTTTTCTTTATATGAATTAAAACATGTCTTCAGGGGCTCTTACACTATTACCTCAGCACCTAGATTCCTATATGTATTGTTCTTGCTTCTTGCAGTTCACCTCCTCTCCACCCCCCCTCCCCCGATTGGCACTAGGGATAGAATCCAAGGATACTTTACCATTGAGCCATATCCCCAGCCCTTTTTATTTTTTATTTTAATACAGGGCCTTATTAAGTTGTTGAGACCTTGCTTCAAACTGGTGATTCTCCTGCCTTAGCCTCCCTAGTCGCTAGGATTATAGGTGTGCGCTTCTGCACCCTCTTCTGTCTGTTCTTTGATTTATTCTCATTAGCTAATTGATATATTAACTCTACTGTAAACTGTAAGATTAGATTTACAGTAAACTCAGCCAGGCATTTTATAAAATATACATAATCATTTTGGTAGGGGGCAGCTACTTTGGCTGTTCAGTTGCTATTTTTTTTTCTTTTGGATAGTGGAGGCTGTGTATTATGGGCCCTTCGGATAAGCAAGAGGGCACTATTGGTGATGGTGTCCTTCTTGTAAAGCCGGCAGGAGGTTCCATCATGCTGGCAGTATGGAAATTCATGACCTGTCTTCTATTCTGAGTTCTGGTTGGACACTGCCATGGGCAAAGGATTTGTCCATGGGATAAGCTTTCAGATTGTTCTGATAGTCTGAGGTGAGCAGACAGGGGCCTGCCTAAAAACACTGCCCTCTTGACTGGACCAAAGCTTTGAAAGCAGTGTTATTTTCTTTTCTGGAACCCACATGGAAAATTAAGGCATTTATTTGGCCACTAAAATAAATTTTTATTGAATACCTATTATGTGTCAGTCATTGGTTGAAGGCTAGGAATTTAAAGTAAACTCAGCAGGTATTTTATAAAATATAAATATAAATATATTTACATAGTGTACTAAAGAAATACGATTTCTGGCCAGGCAGATGGTGTATGCCTGTAATCCCAGTGTCTCTGGAGGCTGAGGAAAGAGAATTGCAAGTTTAAGGCCAGCCTCAGCAACTTAATGAAGGCCCTTTTTATTTTTTAGAAAGGGCTAGGGATTTAGGTCACTGGTAAAGCACCCATGGATTCCTTCTCCAGTACTCCCCCTACCACACACTAAAAAAAAAAATGTTCCCAGCACAAATAAAGAATTATCAATACTCAATAATAGAAAACAATTAAATCAATAAAAAAAACAAGAAAAGATTTGAACAGAGACTTCAACAAGCGAGATACATTGGTGACAGTATTACTAGCCATTAGGGAAATGCAAACTAAAACCATAATGAGATTCTACTGTACAGTTATTAGGATGACTAAATCTTAAATGGATAATACCAAGGGCTGGGTGAGGAAAAAGAGCCACTAGAACTCTTACTGATGGGACTTCAAGATGATACAGTCATTCTGGAAAAGTTTGACATTTTTTGTGTTTTTTTGTTTGTGTTTATGGTAATGGGGATTCACTCCAGGGGTGCTCTGCAACTGAGCCATACCTCCAGCCATTTTAAAAACTTTATTTTGAGACAGCGTCTTGCTAAGTTACTGAGACTGGTCTTGAACTTGTGATCTCCTGCGTCAGCATCCCAAATTGCTGGGATTACAAGGTGTATACCACCATGTGTAATCAATATTTTCTTATAACCATAACTTACTATGTGTCCCAGCAATTCTACTTTTAGGTATTTAGCCCTATAAAATTAAAATTTATATTCACGCTAAAATATATACATGCATGTTTATCACAGCTTTATTTGTAACCTCCCCAAACTGAATATAGTCCATATGTCCTTCCTTTGTGAATGGATAAACACGCTATGGAAAACTACTCAGCGATACAAAGGATTGAACTATTGGTGCACACAGCATAGATGAGCCTCAAAAATTTTATATCAAGTGAAAGAAACTAGTCTCAAATAGTTTTGTCCTATATGATTGCATTTATACGACATTCTGATAAAGGCAAAACTATAGGGATGGAAATTAGGTCTGCTACTAAGGATTAGGAATATAGGGTCAGCATGAGGGATACTTTTTTGTTTTCCTGTGTCCATTACATTGATATAACTATGTATTAAAATGTATAGAACTATATGCGTGCAAAAAAAGTTAATTTCATCATATATTAACTTTAAAAAAGTTTCAAGCATAATACCTGCCATATAATACAAGCTCAGTGAATGCAAGTTACTTTATTCTATATTTCCAGGAAATTGACATATATCTAACTGTTATATTTTTTATGTTTGTATAATTGATGTGCTTATCTCACCAAATTGTGAGCCCCTTTAGAGCAGGGACTGACCTTATTTAGTTTGTCTCTGTTTTCTTCAATGACCAGCATATCCTATAACAAAATATGGGCTTAATCACTGTATTGAATGATTGACCAATGTCACTATAGCAACATGGATTAGGCTGAGGTGGGTGTTCAGGGCAAGGGAGATTTTCATAGATTTTTAAGTGGGATGGGTAAATAGCTGTATGAGCGCAGGAAGCTGCACAATCTACTTAAGATTCTAGTTTCTGTGATGTCTGATATGGATGTATAACACAGAGTTAATGCCTTCTCTTCTGGAGCCAAACACACATGACTCTCCCTCTTACCACCTATGCAAGCTTGGTGAAATTACACAATTTATGTCAGCCTGTTTCTTCATTAGCAATTGGAATAATAATAATGATAGGTACCTTATAAAGTTTCTGTGAACCATAAATAATGCACCTGTACAATGCTTGGTAACAGTTTTTATTGTTATCATAAGAAAGAACATATATTTTGATGCAAACAGTATTGTGTTCAAAACTTGGCTATATTACTTACTACCTTAGGCAAATAATTTCACCTCTCTGGGCCTTGATCTTTTTATTGGTACTGGGAATTAAACCCAAGGGCACTTAACCACTGA